TTTTACTGAGGAATGTTTACCTCCCCGTGCCAAATAGCTGCAGCCACATGACTATTGAAACTCCGCAGTATTGACGGATCATTCGGTCCACCTGGAAAAGCATGAGTAAGGTACTCTTCCTGGACAGGAGGAGAATCAGGTAAAGAGGTATCCTCCACACCAATGTCAGGCATATCATAACCTTCAACTCGTCTTTGGCTTCGGCCCTCACTTTGACTGGCACTGGGAATATCATATTCTACCGAAACTGGATCACGACCTCGACCACGACCTTGACCTCGTCCTCGCCCACGCCCTCGTCCCCGTTGATGGTCTACATCCAATTCACGACGTCGTCTATTTGAAGCAGTAGGTGGGACACGTTGTTGATATTCAGAATCCATATTATCTGCAAAAAATACTAAGTGTGTGTGTAAATAATAACGGTCTGTGTGTGTAAAATTAATGAGAGTGTGTGTAGTGAGTGTTATAATTAAGTGTTATAATTAAGTGTTAGAAGGGGAAAAAAAAAATTTGTTCGGAAGTTGTTGTCCGAAAACACCTACTCTGTTCGGAAGTTGTTGTCCGAAAATACCTGTTTTGTTCGGAACTTGTTGTCCGAAATTATAGCTCATATTCGGAAGTTGAAAACCGAAAAAATAAATTATTTTCGGCACTTGAAAGCCGAACCAAGTCAATATTTTCGGAACTATAGTGTCGAATGGAAGCAGAAATTTCAGAACTCTACTGCCGAACAAAAACAAAAATTTCGAATAACCAGTTTCGAATGAAACACGGCAATCACAGTGGACTGAAAATTTCAAAAATGGTAAAAATTAACCCTGCATTACAAATAAAATAGGAATGAGAAGATTATAATCTGTGTAAACTAACCTAAAATGTGAAAATTTCAATGTTCTTCAATGCCCTTCAATGGCAAAACTTCAATGATGCCAAAACTTCAATGACACAAATGGATGGATGAAGCTTTTGGGGAGGAACGGTGGAGAGTGTGAGAGATAGGTGTGTGTGTGTGAGAGGGGTTCTCAGATGGGTGTGTGTGTGAGAGGGGTCTCACGGGTGTGTGTGTGTGTGTGAGAGGGGGTGTGGGTGTATGATTTACATTGGGGGTATATGTGGAATGATAGGTGTGTGTAGTGAGTCAAATATATTAGGATTTATTTTTTTAGTGTGTGTATTAAGAAAGATTTGTATAGAGAGGAAAGGGTGTGTGTATATAGAAGCTCCCTGTTACTATTAGCATTCCATTAATTATTTTGGACCTCCACTTATAAATTTTAAAATTCTTAAATTTCTTTTTTCTCCTCAAATAATATCAAAATTATCCTTGTAAAAACATTCCATACATTCAAATATACACCCCCACACCCCAAAAAGCCTATCTCTTAAAATCCTAACAAAACTCACGACAGTAGAACCTCCCAAAACCAATGGAAAAAATTTGTGGTGATGACGAAGTTTTTTTTTTTTCTGTTTCATTACGAGGTTTGTCAATCTTTTTATTTTTATTTTTATTTATTTTTATTACATCTTTCCACACACAACACAATCCATTTTTATTCTTCTTTGGTTGGATTTTTGTGATTCATCTATGGTCTCATTATACTTGTATGCTCTTTGTGTGAGTAAAATTAGGCAGGATTTCACCTTTGGTCAATCGGCCGGTTGGCCATCCAAGGGTTGTCCAACCTCTTTTGTTTGCCTTCTTCTGCTGCTGTTTCGGTTATCTGTTCCCGAAAAAATAAGAAATGTACTTGTTCCTAAACAAATAAACAATGTTCGGACCTATGTTTTCGAGTTTCGGTCATATGTTCGGGAGTTCAATCCCGAAAAAATGACAAACATTTTTTATTATTTTTGTCATTTTTTTTTAAAGAAATTTACGCTTATAAGGCCAATCTTCTTTGAGCTATGAGACCATCAAAATTATGAATCTCTTTTGAGCTTTTATTGTTGTATTCCTCTTGTCTCATGGAGTTGTGTTTGCTGGAAGAATTTTCACTCATTGTTATTACCGGAGAAGTGTATATAATCAAATTTTGCTATCGTTGCCGTCGGAATATTGCTGCCAAAGGATTTTCAAGGTTTTGAGGGTAAGATTTGAGGGAGATGGATAGGTGGTGATGGAGGTGGGTAGGGCTGCAAATGAGCCGAGCCGAGCTTTAGTATGTTTGGGCTTGTTTATTAAAATTTTAACGAATTCGAGCTCGAGCTCGAGCTCAAGCTGAATAAAAATTTAACGAACTGAGCTCAATCCGAGTTGGCTCAGGCTTGACTCGAGCTCGAGCCTGTTTACGAGCCTTAACGAGCCAAAAAATTTATAAATTTATACTTGCATGTGAGACTAAAGTTACAATTTAAAACTTTGATTATACAATTATATATACAATATATATAAACATATTAAAAAAAGTCCATATTTTACTAAAATAATAATATCTACTACCACTATTATATAAATGTACCATCTATAGTTAACTATTATTTACATTTATATTTTTTAAATATATAAATAACATATTTCTATTACTTTTTATACATATTTTTATATTATTTAATATATAAATAATAAACATTAAACGAGCCAACTAACGAGCCGAGCTTTAGAATGTTTGAGTTTGTTTATTAAAAATTTAACGAGCTCAAACTCGAGCTTAAATGCAAAAAAAAAATTAACGAACTGAGTTCGAACAAACTCTTACCGAGTCAAACTCGAGCCTCTTCACGAACGACTCTGTTCATTTGCAGCTCTAGAGGTGGGTGGTCTTATAAGTCTTAACTCATGATGAAGTGGGTGCGTAGATTTAATTGTAAGATGTATCTCAATTTTTTTTGTCCTTTTTAATAATTTCATTTAAGATTATTATTGTAATAAAAAAAAATTAAAAAATAGAGGATCCAAAGTTATTGATAGAGTGCTAATAGCAACATTCTTTTGTTGCTTTTTACTAGTTTCCATGTTTGATCCAATTAATTTAGATTCCCACTTCTTTACAATTACTTCTATTACTTTATTTATTTATTTTATTTATCTGTAATTTCTCCTTATACATAATTAGCTCAAATATATGTACTTGTTTGGGAAGGTAGGATGTTTAACCAAAAAAAATTATTGGACCATAAATTGTCACATTATTTTTTTATTTTTATACATATCTTTTATTAAAAAATTAAAATACCAAGAAAATAGCCAATTAGATCCCATAAATTTTTCTTGCATAAATTTCTAAAGTATCTAGATCTTCTTTTGCATGATATCATCACTGAATTAAGTCTAAAAAATTTTATGTTAAAATTAAAAAATCTTATGGAAAATTACACATTTCTTAAAAAAGAAAAAAAGAAAAAAAAGAAGAAGTGAGAAATTTCTAGTGTGCTTTTAGAAAAATCAAACCTATTTTTTATGAAGAAAAACATAAAAATGTCTAAAAAGAAAACTACTTCTTTTTGTTTAAAAAATAAAAGGTAAATTATACTAATCTTTACTGAGATTTGAAAAAAATTCAGTTAGGTTCACAAATTTAATGTAATTACAATAGACACCCTTAAAGTTTTAATTCACATAATGCTTATCTAAATTTCTTGAATAATTCGTTAATAGTATGAAATCAAAAAAGTACAATTTTGAAGCCTTGAGACATGTCTAAAAATACTTGCTGGAGAACATAATTTGCCCTCACTTAGATTAAAATCTGATAATGGTTATAAGCGAAGTCGTCCGTAGTATGCAACAAACATTTGACTAAAAATGACAACTAGCAAAATTGAAGTACTTTCAGAATTTCTTTTATTTTACTATCTATTCAGCGCGAGAGTTGACGGATTTTTGTTATGAAAAATCGTTGGCTTGTAATATTTTTTACAGTAATGTTACATTTATTGAATTTAGTCTCGCTTGAATTATTTAAATTTATGCATGTTGGTCGTCCGACGGTCATTCGTATGAATGTCGGTTGACACTGAATTTAGTCTCGCTTAAATTATCTAAATTTATGCATTTCGATCGTTCGATGGTCATTCGAATGAATATCGGTTGATACACCGGTTAATAAGAGTGATAGCTACAGTTAATAAGGGTGACAATAACAGTTGATAACTGTTAATAAATGTGACAATAACGGTTGATAAAGGTGACGTCAGTCATCTGACCACGTCATTAGGATAGAGTGCGATTCTCTCTATTTCAGTAGACCAAATATTTTTCTAATTTTATAGATATGGAAATGTTTTTAACAAAGATATAATCCATATAAAAGACCCACTCATTTTTAAAAGACACCTATTAAACCTATTCATTTATCCACTCCATTGATAAACCATCTACAAATAAAACAAACCAATTATGGGGTACAGCACTTCTTGAGTTGATCCAAGCCATGAGCCAGGTAAGTCTTAAAAACTCAGTTGTATAATAAATTCATATATAAAAAAATAAACAAGCGATATGGGACCAACACAGGGACAATTATACAATCAAACAATGAACTTTGCCTCAACATAATTTTAATCAAAAAAAATAAAAAATAAAGAAAGTCATAAATATTTGATTGCTATTTGCCAATGACATTGTCTATGCCAGCTTGGTTGGTCCAATCCAACAACAAAAAAAAGCTCATCAGGGGGCGTTCACATTAATTATCAAACGACTTTTGCTCAATTATTCTGTATTTAAAAGAGTAATATTATATGTAATAATATACGACAAATTACATATAACCCTCGAGGTTTGATTAAATTACAGATACCCCTGAGGTTTGAGAAATTACGAATTCCCTCCTGAATGCTATATTTGCATGAGAAATTAGGGGGTAATTTATTATGAAATATAAACCTCAGGGGGCAAATTGTTATGAAAATACAAACCTCAGGGGGCGAGATGTAATTTCTCAAACCTCAGGGGTATCTGTAATTTAGCCAAATCTCGAGGGGTATATGTAATTTGCCCAATAATGTATTAAGTAATATATTAATTGATGATGTGATATAATTTAAAATATTTTTAATATTTATAATTTGTATAATGAGTGGATTCAATTGTACAGTCATAATTAATATTGGTATGCGTACACTAAGACCTATTTTAGAAAGTGAGTTATAATCCACTTCCCAGATTATAACCCACTTCTTCTCTCACAAAAAAGCTTATAAATAATTTTTTATCAAAAAATTGATTATAATCATCTTCTCAAAATAACACTTAATTAGTGCAAATAATATCACTCTATTTAAAAACTAATTTACCACAAAAAAATAATTGAGTGCTCTAATGAGTTCTAATAAAAATGAATCGCACTGTAAACTTAATTTTATTTTATTTTTATTCTCTGTCGTATTATTAAAATTAAATTAAAATTTTAAAATTAAAAAGATGTATCAAATAAACAAGAAAGCAAGAACTTCCTCGTCACTCGAGTCTTCGTCTTTTGCTATTTTTTTTCTCTCGCATCTGCACCTACATTCCATAAATTTCATCACTCTTATCTCGGGATCTTTACTTTATCGAGAAAAACAAAAGTTAGATTTTCTTTGATGGGTTGTCTATTGAATTCCTAGAGATTGGTCTCTACTCACAGTCTTCACTATATACATTCTACTATCAGATCTTGAATTGGGTATTCCGATGTTGATAGTGTGTTCTTTGTTCCTTTGCAATCAAATCTAATTGGGTTTTTTATTCTGAAAAAAAGAGAGATAGTATTTCATTGTTGAAACTGGTTGTTCTTTACTTTTGAAATCAAATCTGAGTTGGGTTTGTTTTTTTGGGACACATTGTTGATAGTGTGTTCTTGATTTTTTTTTTGGGACACATTTTATGTTTTTTTGTTTTTTGGGAATTGATGGCTCACCCATCAGACCATAGGCTTAATCCCGGGGTTCTGAGAAGTGTTTTGGTTTTGGTGGGTCTGTTTTTGGTTGCCTACATTGTGGGACGACCAATTTTGAGAGAAAATTCATATGCTCAAGCTTCATGTTCTACATGTGATTGCGATTGTGATTCAGACAACTTCTCCATACCCTTAGGTGAGTTCAACTGTCACCAAAAGGTTAAAAAATTTCTGTATAAGACAAAATATTTGTTAATTAGCCTCTGTTGAGTCATGATCACATGGAAGTTAAATGTATATGGAACTGGTCATGATTTATAGGATATGGAGTTGTTGAGCGTCTTATTTTAGTTATATGGTTTTATACATATAGTCTTTCTTTGTAACTGTACGGTTGTCAATTTGTTCTTTTTAGTTGCTGGAAACGGTGGAATTGACCTTCATTATGATAATTATGCATAATCGACTTCTACTGGATGTTAGATTATTTCTGAGTGGAAGTTATGAAAGTGTAGATTTCTTCTTTCTAGTTGCTGAAGTGGTGCCATAAGCTTTTTTTTAAAGCACTATCATATTCCTATGAACTATTTGACTTGATATTAGATTACTCATTGGTGGAATCTTGTAGGTGCTATATTCAGATTGCTCTGGTATTCTTTCTTTCAAATTGTAAACTAAGCTTTTAATCTTGATTGAGAACAACATGCATTTAAGAAAGCTCAATGCATAGACTTCCAATGCTACACCCTTCTCTTACGATCCTCGATCCGATCCTACGATCTAATCCATGAGACCCTCTCACCGATCCTATGTAGGATCCCAAATTTTAAAAACATTGATGGTAATTAGATTGTGTCCTCACAGTTGCCCTTTCTTGGGGAGAAGTCTTTCGCCAAAAGGTGAATGTTGGATAAATATAAGCTTATTCTTGTGGAAAAGTGGAGTGGAGGAAGTAAGTTAATCGCTTTGGTGAGAAACTTGGGTATGTGGTAGAGCTCTCTATTGTCATACCATGGGTTCACTCTTGTTATTTTTGTAGAAGACTAAGTTAAGAGGCACGGACACGGACATGTGACACGACACGAACATGCCGACACGGAAATTTTCAATAAATGCAGGATAGACACGTGGGGACACGCACAGAATATATAATTTTATATATTTATTATATGTCATATATATGAATATATCATTCTAAGACAAGAAATAAATGCAATATAACACTATTTTCTATAAATTGTGATTATTTTTCTTTTATAATTGTATTCTAAGTTATTTTGTTCAAACTTATAATTAATTTTTTGTGTGTCTAATCAATGCACACATATGTTTAAGCAATGGGCATGCCTGTCCTCCAAGTGTCCAAGTCTAAATTCTTTTTTAAAAAAGTAGGACACATTTGGATGTGTGTCTGACACATGTCAAGAAAGTGTCCGACGAGTACCGGTGTCGGACACGGACACCGACACCGACACGCCACCTTTTTTAAAGTGTCTGTGCTTCTTAGAGACTAAGATAGTTGAATGGTACCTTGGAGTTGATATAGAGAGAGCCTGTAGTGGTTGAGACTTGCTTTTTGAACAAAAGAAATTCGCTGATTTGGAGGAATTTTTTTTTTTTGATAAATTCACTGATTTGGAGGAATTCATTTAGTTGAAATACATACTTTATGTCCTTTGTGACGATGAGGTCAGACAAGCTCCAAGGGATGAGTTCAAGTTCCATTTGCATCTTGGGAAAAGTCAATTGGTTGACTTTAGTTGTGATGAGCATAACGCTTTTGGTTGACTGGCTCCAATTTGCAAAGGGGAGAATTTGTTTGTGGAAAATTGCTGTTATTTTCAGGTATGGTTAGAGAGTTGTGAGTAGACCAGAGATGCTAGTCAATTAGCCAATTAGGGTGTAGTTGAAATTATGAGATGTTTGGTGTGGGTTACTTTTCTTAAGAGAATAATCTGACATCTGTAAGAGATTGCATCAGGTAAATACTAAAGATGTGTTCCATAATAAATGCAAAGCGAAATTGACCCAAAGATGCTTTCTCTAAAGATTGTGGGATGGGTTGGTTGGTGGATAATACTGTTATGTGAAAAGGAAGGCACAATGATCTGTTCTTGGTGAAATTTGTGATACCATGATGGTTAATCACTTAAATGTGGAGAAATCTTTCGGAGATGTGTGCATCAATTGTTCGCACATAAATGAAAATCATATTTAGATGGTAACAAAAGCCTTATCTTTTTGTGCTATTTGAATGTGCTGAAATAGAAGGCTTTTCAAGATGGCAACTTCCAATATTTAATTTGAATATTATCTTGTCTATATATCTCTTTTTTGTGGGTATTTGCTGTTTCCGGAATACCATTTTATTAGTCATGACAACACTCCATTCAGATATAATAGCATTGCCCGTGACATGTGGAATTTGAAGTTCATTTGAACTTTTTCAATAAATGGACTGAAGAGCACTAAGAGATTAATTCAAGCTGTTTGAGAGGCAATAATCCTTCTCCTTGAGATCCAGTTGCACTATTAGTGAAACTCTACATAGTTGGTACAGGTTCATGTTTTTTGTTACTGGAACTTTCAGAGTTTGTGTAGAAACTAAAACCTAATCAATGACTGATGATCATGCTTTAAAAGGATGAACGGGGGGAACTTGTTTCCATCATGAATAGCTGTAATAATTTGAGTCTAGACTAAATAGTTGGAGTCACTTTTTGCAAGTATATAAAAGATGAAGGATTATGATGTTACTGTTGACATGTAAATATAATTCTATTATGTTTTTTGCAAGTAAAATTGTACTCTTTTTGAAAGAAGTGCAGGCTAGAGGTCACAGCTGCCAAGTGTGAGATGGAGGTTTTTGTATGAGACCAGCTTCTCTGTACTAATACAGCTGAAGGTGCACCAGCATCCATGGGACTAAAACCAAGTAATGGAGATGTAGGACAAGTAGAGATTACTTTCCTACAAGTAGTAAGCCCGGGTTAAGTATACTGGCAGTAGCAACAATAGACTTGTAGTGCTGGATTTGGTGAGATTTTATGGCTGCAAAAGTATTTAAAAATAGCAGTTTAAGGGTTTGTAAAAAAGTAGGGTTTTGGGAATGAAAACGCAAGTATTTAGGGACAGTTGGGTGGTTGTTCTAAGTATTGTGAATAGTGACGTGAATAGTAACCTTGTTAGATAGAAGAAGAAGAAGAAGAGAGAAGTGCTTCACCCTCACAAGGGATATGCCAATCACACAAATACAATTTCAAATTTTCATAACATTAACTCTTGCAATTGAATCATTGAGATTACACATATATTATAGACTAAAAACTCTCTTAATTCTATAAGGACTATTTCTCAAATTTAGAAACTAAAAATATTTAACAACTACTAATATTCTAGATCAACTCTGACTTCCAATTCTACTTCAATCATGATGGAAAACTTTAGTGACTTCTAATTTTACTTCAATATCAAAATAAGAAACTTGGACTTTTGACTACTGAGATTATTTTAGACATAATAAAACCCATATATAATAACCCATTTAATAACTTGACCCAAAATAAAAATCTATGGGTCACCCTTACAACCCATGTCCAACAATTATTAGAATTACCATTATACCCTTAATTATTAAAATCTACTATAATGACATGAAAACTCAAAATTATTCCAAATCTTTAATTCTTCATGCCCTAAATGTGCTTCATGTGAAATTCTAAATTTGCTCTTTTTCTTCTTTCCATGATCTTCATCAAATGGATTTCTTCTTTCTTTAGGAAATTCAATAATCTGATTCCTTTAATGTTCCTCACAGTCCTCCTGTTTAAACCCCTCCCCTCTTTTCTTGATTCATCAGTTACCACTCAGGTATTTAAGTATTCTATTTCAAACAATCAAGGAAACATCTAAGTTTTATCAACTTCTACCATCTTTCTCCTCCTATCAAAATCTAGAGGTACTTGTGATTATAACATTCTACATTTTGTTATTTTCTCATTGTTGATCCCCAAAACTGCATCCTTATGCTTCAATGAGACAAACCACCCGGTTTCCAGGGTGCACCCTGTTTGTTCTATGCAGTTGGCAAAACTTGATCATTATATTCGTGCCCAAAATCATTTGTTAGTTGAATTAATCATTATTTTCAAACAGAGAACTAACTGTTAATTTATTGCCTATTGCTAGAACCTTCCAAGTGAATGGGAGAAATACTGAAGGGCCTCTTGCCTAGCTGTGATAGTAATCATACTATTGCAGGATTGAGCAAATTAGTTTGCTTAACTGATCATTGAAAATTGTTATTTGTTTGAGGTTTAACACTCGTACACTTACAGCAACCAAAAGAGGCAAGAGGAGGTCTTAGTGATTATTACTAACTTGTCTCAATTTGTAGATCACATGTACAAAATTTATTGATGTTACATGGTTCCATCACATAATCTAACAAAATATTTTATCAAATAGTTGGACAATGAAAAATTTGTTAGGATTTATCTTAAGAATCAAAAAGATCTACAACAGTAAGGAAGACTCTGAAATCTCAGAAGAGAACTGAGTATGAAGTCGAACTCATTTTACTTGCCTTCTCATGGACCAACATAAAAAGCTCAAGGATGACTTATTTTTCTGTCTTTTCTTTTGTGTCGTATATATGTCATGTGACGTTCATTATATTATTTTTCGACTTTTCATGTGATTTTTACTTCTTTGATAAAATATCTAATTTATATAGAACTGGTTCTGCAAACTTTCATGCTTGATGCGTACACATGATTGTGGTCCCAAGCATCTTCATCCAACTGCACATCCATTGTCGGCTTATTTTCTTTTTCTTTTTTGTTATTATTATTTTTTTCACCTTTGGCATAATATATTGCTCTCTTCTCTTTTTAATTTTCTAATTTATCGGGTAGCAAGGCTTTAGTTATTTGAGACTACTTCTATGATAAGAAAGTTATTTGGAACAATTTGTGCTTTCTTTTTGGCTTATGCATGACAAGAAGTTACAACACCTGCTATGTTTTTTGGGTTGTGCATCTAAACTAGGGTTCTAGGTGATTGTTTCTTCCTCAAATGTTTTTGTTGTTCCCCATCATGTTAATGACTAAATAATTATATCTTGTTAATGAATATATGAAATCATACCAGCACTTAGTAGTTAGTTTGTGCAAATAGAAGCCCTAAAATCATTAATGTGCAATAGGGATCTCTTAATATGCTGATTACAAAGCTTAATTAACTTAAATTGCACAATATGGTAAGTTACGATTGATCCAAACGTAACTCACAATGTTGTGCAATTTTTAGCTTGTCATGTTGTTCTTGGACTACAGAATCAAATGAATCTGTCACTTAAACACATATCTGCACCCATTAAACATATCTGAGTCTGTAACATACGCTCCATCAAGTACCAGCAGTCCCTCCCCCTATTGGATAAGACATCTCACTATAATCTTATTGTTCGTTGTTCTGCTGATGTTTCACTATCCTCTTACCATTAATTTTCTTTCGACAAAAGGATTGTTCCCTTACTCTGAATCAATGCCATTGTTCTTGCAGGATTTTTAAACATCTCATATTCAGGTGAGTCCATCTGTCTTGCATGCGTTCTTGCTATCTACACTTGCTGTTTTGTGCTCCATTGGGAGTACATCAAGTAATTCTTATGGTCCTTGAACCATTAAATGTTTGGAATTTTTTCAACCTTGCATCTCTCTGGTTTTGAATTCGAGCAAACTGTCTAAAGGGGGATGATGAGTCCCATTCTTAGAAGTGGTCCATAGAAAGATTTGTAATTGTTAGGTATAGAGATGAGGAAATCCAGAGACTGAAAATATGTATACTAAACAAATTAAGCTTTAGAATGAATATCAGGGATGGTGGGTATGGATGGTAACATGTTAAGCTTCTTTTGCTAATATAAATAAAAGATGTGATAAATCTACGGCATATCAGTTGACCTGAGTCTAATGGAGAAACAATTTGTGGGGAGGTCAAACCTATGTTACATAAACTTGGTTACAGGTACGGATATGAGTATGAATACGAGTATGGGTGCTCAACTAGAGGTCAGACCTATCAAACATCAAATTTAAGGGTATGAGGACTCAACAAAAATGGTTATTTTTGTAATTTATTATGTGAGATTAAATGGTGTTATATGTACCAGACAATATTAAAAAGATATTTTACTCATTTCATAGCAATTATACCACAATATGTATATATAATGATTAAATACAAATATATAAGAGTCTAATGAAAAGTGTCACACATCTGATTTATTTTGAAAAGTCTATGTAACGAAGGCTCAAACTCACTAGCATAACAGTGCTGCCCACAAATGTGTGTATCATGACCAAAAACTTCTCTAGTTTGAATCCTTGCATGGACTATAATACCATTATATGCTTATTATATGTGCAGACTGTGGTAAAAATGATCCTGACATGAATGAGGAGATGGAGAAGGACACCATAACTTCACTATCAGAGGAGCTTAGTCTACAGAAAAATGTCACTGATGATAACTTGGAACGCACTGAGGCACTGATAATGAGTACGAAGAGAGCTTCTTCCCATTATCAGAAAGAAGCAGAAAAGTGCAATGCAGGAATGGAAACTTGTGAAGAAGCAAGAGAGAAGGCTGAAGCAGCACTCATAGACGAGCGTAAACTCTCAGCATTGTGGGAGAATAGAGCCCGTGAACACGGGTGGATGGACCAAAGAAGATTGTATTCATGAATGTAGCTTCTTTTATCGTTATTTCCTGTTAATTTAGGCTTTTGACTCATTATGCTTGTGCGTTCAGTGTGAATATCACCATGCTACATAGAAATTTTTTTTTTATTCGTCTTTTATCCGTCAGAAAATGTGATTACTTCAATGCTGCATATGGTGTATAGGATATAAGAACTAGCTACAGGCTTTTCCCACGTATTCCTTATTTATTTATTATTATTATTTTGGGGGTCCTAATATTTTGCTTTTGCTGTGTGATAAACAAGGAGAACATAGCTTACAAAATTTGCACTCTGCAAAAACTGTTGCAAGTCATAGTGCATTGTTGTTTGATTGCATTAGCAAGAAACATAAACACTGGAGTATGAGAATACAAAGAGCTAAACAATGAAACAGATGGCTTAGTTGAAGCAATTCCTTTATTACAAGAAACTGTTAAATTTTGTGCAGTGCCGAGTATTGTGGCCTAACCGGTGCATAATTCTATTTGCACATTACAAAAAATCTCAGTACACCATTTTTATTGAGACTTTGTGCAGTACAAATTGTAATTTTATTTGCATATTACAGAAAATCTCAATATATCATTTGTATCGTTTGAATATAAACTTTTGAACAAAAGTCAAATATTTAGACAAATTTATGAGCAAAAAGCAATTGTTCAGACGAACAGTTGAATGGAATATATGAGCCAAGAATTCATTTTTGTTTATAAGTTTATATTTGAATATTTGACTTTTGTGTAAAAATTTATATCCGGACGACACAAATGTTGGGTACTGAGATTTCATGTGATGTAAATAGAATTTAGCCTAACTGGCTCTTCTTAGTTCCATGAGTCATTGCAGTGGAAAATTAGGTCTACCTTCCTTAGCTGAAAAATTGACAAAAGCAAATACAAAACAAGATAGTTCATGAATCATGCATGTGCTCATGCATATATAGTGAAAGTAGTTGTAGTGCAGATAGAATTCATTTGCAGACCCGAATTTTAAATAAATATATATAAAAGAAGACAATTAATATGAATTAAATTGTTTTTACTGCTACATTTCATCTAAAAATTTAATTTTTTATAGAGAGAAATAACTTTATTCTTTATATCTAGAACACACCCATGAGAATCAAATATGTGCAAGTATTACAATTGTATCTGCTATGATACTAAGAAGAAATACTAAAACATTCATACAAACTAAAGTACACACGTGGTTTGACAGTGTGACTAAGGGAAGAAGGCGAAGAATTTCAATCATTATAGCAATAATAATCACCAATTACAGACACAATCAAGCAAAATCAAAGATTCAATTATGTATAACCAAACCAAACCTTAAGTCCCATTAAATTGGGGAGGCAGATGCAACGCGTCACTTGAGGGAAACGACCTAGCATTTAAACGATTTAAAGTAGGATTCATTTTCATAAGGGATCCGAGCGGCTTTTTTACGTGTTGGCTGTCGGCTACCTAACACACAACCCTCCTCCTTAACCCGGGCTTGGGACCGGCAGAGTTGTATAATAAAAAAAATACAATCAAGATCCCTTAGATTTTAAATCTTTTTCCTTTCTCGCCAACAACTACTTTCAACTCCAGAGGCTGAAAGAATGGAGAGACTTCACAGCATCCATGATAATAGCCTTTACAGTACCAATTTGCTGACTCCCAAATTACGACATTCTAGGATTCCCTTCTTCAATCTGAGATATCTGCACTTGAATAGCACTTCCAATATCAAGGACAACACGGTTAAGGTCCTTCAATGCCCGACCAGGCTTGAATAATATCCCTCTAGATATATTTTCATAATAGCTTGTAGGACCGACATCTATCTAAACATGCCACATCAAAATTCAACTTCATTCATCACTCCAAAGGCAATAATTCACATGGCAACAACAAAGATGCTGAGTACTTGCCTGGAGATACCTTTGAGCCACATCAGAATTTTAGCTTCACCCACTACTCTGTACTGGCATGTCCAGCGTCTCGCACTGCAAAATTACATGGAACCTGCAAAGTGCAAATCTGAAAAAAAAATTGACCTTTCACATAACATAGAATGCCAAGATTCCTTTGGACATCTATTGAAAATCTCACTATCAAATTTACTACAAAAGACATGTCTTTCGAGCCCCGGGATCAAGCCTACCTCTACCTCCAGGGAATAAAAGGAAAAACAAAGGAAGAGAAAAGAAAGAAAGAAAGAAATCTAAATGAGGCAATCTTGTGCACCAGGTTCAATCACTATTGGATCTAAGCCAGGTGAAATTACACATGGTTAGATTAAAGTCACTTGAATAAACACACATCAAGTTAAATATACACTGTCCAAAACTGCAAATCCAGCTGCAACACCTCCCTCATTTGACGAAGAAACCTTTGTCCGCATCAAGTAACCACATTGCTCATTCGTAATCACGTTCTCTTTGTTTCTGCACATTCAAATGTTTCATGGTAGGTAATACATATAAATACGGATAACATTCTACAACACAAGTAATGCATGGTAGTAATATTAGACCAAAAAGTAAACTGGGAAGCAAGAATGTAGTTGCCATTGTAATTTTTTTACAAAAAATGTTATCAAGGGTGCTTCTTTTTTCTAATTCTTTCCATTACATATCTGGTCTTGAACAAAATTCAACTTTGAAAAGCAACAAATCGAATAAAAGATGAAAAACAAGAGAGAAGATTTCAATCTTATTCAATGTTACCAGAAAACGCTACTACCCTACCGAATTACATTTTCGAATGCACATTTTGAAACATGTTACACTTCCATTTGAAAAATAGTAAATTTAGCAATCTAAAGTGATCCCAAGAGTTTATTTACAATAAATTTCCTAAAGGTTTCATTCAGAGTGAAAAAAAAAACAAATATTATGAACTAATATCTAAGGTAAGTAAAGTTTTGACAGGAAACAAAGTTGCAAATGAGTCATAAGGCTCATAGAAATGTATTGACACATGGTTAATTTGGAAAAAGAAACCCTATTTTTATTGGATGTCTAATTGTTAAAAAGAAAATTACTCTAGAAGTATCTTAAATTTTTATAGTATAATCTATATACCATATTTTAGAGCATATGGTGTACCATGTTCTATTCCCATTCCACAAACCGGAACGATCCACGTTCCAAGTAACATAGGTCTTGTTAACATGTTAAAAGGAGAAGAAAAAATGTGCATGGAGGCACCTTCAAACAAGTTATGGAACATTGGCCAGTGCTACGCACCTTAAATAAGCACTATATATGCCAAGTTCTGAGATAGCATGATCTTTGTGACAAATGCCATCACGCATCAAAAATGTGGGAACAATAGTTGGGAAAATCCTCTGCATGAGGATGTAGGCAGCATCCTCTTCACTACCCTCCACTTGCAATCTGAGTAAAGTTTTCCTCACATCATCTCCATAGATATTGTTCCCTGAAAAAGGATGTTATCTATAATAGCAATATCAATGGAATTTCCAACAACAATTACAAGACAAAGAAGATTAAAAAATGGAACCTCCGCCTTCTCTTTGCGGTTTCATAACATAAAACTCAGGTCTTTCAATTGCATCCTTAACAGTATTTGAGTCATCTAAACTCCACAATCCTGCAAAGCATTTTCGGAGTTTGGCAATGTCTTCTTTGTTCTCAAGAAACCTGCTCACAACCAACGAAAGAAACTATCATATAAGACATACTGGATGGTGTAAATGAAGCTCGTTTCCCATAAAGTCACAAATTTAATGAGAAAAATAATTTTTAACTTCATAATGTCAGCTAGCATCTTGATTCTAGTTCTTCAATCATTCTAAAATTAAAAAACTCATGAAAAAGAACAAAGTGGAACCAACTTTTTGTAAAGGACTAGGAAAAGGTCACCTATTTTAAAGATATTGCATAATGAAGATCCAAAACAATGTACATCCACATTCACTTCAGAATTCAGATTGAAAGAATAATAACATGCGATTATACTTTATTCTCCTGGGGATCACAAATCAATATTTTCCGGAATTGGTTCAAAACCCCAGCAAGAAATTGCAAATGATCTGAATGAAGAGCAGTACCAAATAATAGTTTAAACAATGAACATTACCTCTCAAGAACATTGGGTTTTGCAAGCTCTTGTTGTACCTTCTTCGTGCCAGTTAAATGATAGGAAATTGAAGGGCACTTGACGGCAGAGGACTGCTCCATTAATTCCCTAGCCCTCCACTCCTACAAAATGAAAGAGGGATTATTCATGAAATGAGCAGTAAGGTCACCCTCAGGTGCAGAAGTGGTCCTAGATAATCCAAAATTGTAATCGCCATGGAGCAGAGGATGTGGGTTTAAATCATTCAGGTGTGAGTTTAGAAATGATTTGGCTAGTAACTTGGAATAACTTGGAAGCAAATTATCTGTAGATAAAACTTTTGGCTGACTGATGCTTTAGTTTAATGGGGAAAAAAAACGTGATTCTACACTAGTTGTGAAATATTTACATTATATTGGTATTAAGTTTAGAACACATTAAAATTGTCAGTTATTTTAATGGAGTTGGGATGGTGGAACCTCATCAGAAGTTGTAGACACAACTGATGCATATGTGCCATTATCCATTAAGGTTGTATTTGGATCATGGATTTGGGTAGGGATTTGGCAAGGGAGAGGAAAAGGTGAGGGAAATGTGGATGAAATATAAGCTAATAGTTTTCGTCACTGCTCTTGCCTTTTCCTTTCCTTTTCCCTTTCCCACTCCATACTTAATCCATGATCCAAACAAAGCTTAATAGAATAAAGTCTGCTCCATAGGCACTTTCGACACTCAACTACTAATAATAACCAACATCACCTACACAAGGCAAAGCCAACTTCCAGTTTAGATTAGAACTAGAATTGGCAGAAGCAGAAAAATGACAGATCTACTCACTGATTCTGAAGGATAATCAATTGGCGCATACCCAGCTCTGAAATAAATGACTGCAATTACTTGATTACCACTGCAAGTTCAAAGCTTTCAATTAGTCAAAGTTAGAAAAATCACTTCAAAATCCAACAAATTTAGAACAGCAAAAATCAAATATTCAAGACACAGCTACATACATGAGAAGGGTTCCATCTGGTAGAAGCACCCCTTGCGCATCAATTTCTGCCAATGTTTTTCGAATAGTTGTAACATCATGTGTGTTACAAAGCTAAGGAATACATCTGAACAAAACTCCTAAACAAAAACTTTCCATCCAGATAGTTTGTTGATAAATAAATCTCTGGAAAATAGATATAGATATTAAAACTGACATAAAATTTTAAACTTTGAAAGGGATCAAATACTTTTTTCATTTGTCAGTATATTCCAAATTTTTGTTGCCATGAACTTAAATACACCACTAAGCTCTCAGATAGGAGCTTCATCATCATGTAACTAGTAGAAAGGATATCTTTCCTTCAGTACAGAACAAAGCCAATGTTGGTCATACATATTGCGTTCTTCAGGTTGCACCACAACCATAACTACAGCCCTGTAAACAAGTATTTGAAGCTAGTCATATGTTGACCTTGGTGAATTCATTATCAAAAAACAAATAAGGAACATCAATCAATCAAATCCAACCTTGGATTATTATACTCCTTCCAAGCTTTGGTCAATGCCTCTGCAAATTGACTCACAGCAGTGTTTCCAGGAATCCTTCTGGAATCTAAGCCAAGGTGCTCCTTGTACTGATTCAATATGCTCCTGCAAAATTACCAGCTACTATTGTTTTCTTTTTTTAATGGTTTCTGGAGACCCAAAATACAGCCAAATAATCTAGTACTCGATGGAATTAAATAACAAGAATAAGTTCATAATTTTGGGCCTGATAGATGGGGAAAATCTACCTAGCTACTGACTGAGGGAATGGGAAAGGAAGGAGAATTCATACTCAGAAACTGCCATCCTTCTAGAAGGGTGGCAAAAATTTGAGAAACACCAAATCAGTTTCCAAAAAAATGCAGTACTCCAAAACAAAATTATATTCTCATTATCGGCTATATAAAGATTTAACATCGGCTATATAAAGGTGTCACAAATCAGTCAATTGCAATTACTCACAAACATAATTGGGAAAAGGATGCCACCATATTTCATACAAGGGAACACAGTCTATTAGTCTGTGAACCAACAAATAAGATTGTTCAATATGAAAGATCTAACGAGGACAAAGATTGGTATTTCAATATCAATACCATGAAACTATTTTCTGGGCACAGTTCAAAGTCATGACGTCGGCGACTCTTTAAGGGGTTGCTAGGACGACTTGGTGCAGGGTATCGCATTCTCTAGTGAGTGAATAGAAATGACATGCTACGTATAAAGGTGCACCAAAAATGAAGCACCAAAATCAATACCATGAAACTATTTTCTAGGCACAGTTCAAAGTCATGCCGTTGGTGACTGTTTCAGGGGTTGCTAGAACGATTTGGTGCAGGGTATCACATTCTCTAGTGAGTGAATAGAAATGACATGCTATGTATAAAGGCGGTAAAAATGAAGCACCAAAATCTCAAAAGTGAAGGCATAATCAGGATAGCTTACTGCATTGAAAAAGAAAAAAAATAAAACTTCTAACAGGCATAGCTTTCTAACATTGTAATAGATTTTTTATAAATCCAAAATAACTTAAAATGTGCAAAGATAAGCTAAATAATTAACTTCTTTATAATAACTCCTTAAACACCCTCCAATTTTGTGGTTGCCCACAACTTGACAGGAGAATGAAAGAATGACTTTTGATTTTCTCTGGTGTCTTTGTTAGAGAACTAAAAAGATTTGGTATAATATGGAAACAAAAGAAGTGTATCTGCTTTTTGTGCATGTCATCCAATATGATTCAGGAATGAATTGCAAATTTATACTACACGGCTTATACAGTCCAATTGACTAACACTACTAGGGAGACTAGTATTTATCATGCTTCTATCATTACATGTCTAGTATTACATTAGCTTCCTTCAATCTCAAGTAGATTCAGCTGAGTCAACTCATACACAATGATGCAGAATATAAGAAGCTCAAGGAAAAGTAAATTCAAACAAGTAGCGATATTTGGAAATTGGCATGATTTCACAGAGAAATTGATAGAAATTTTATATAATTATGTTTCTAGTATTATTAGAGTCTTATTTTATGATTAGTTTATATTTTTTAAGATTTTTAGGTCAAGGGTATTTTGGTAAATTTCATATTTGCTAATATGGATTGTAGGGGTCGCCCATGGGTCGTCTTGTGGATCAAGTTATTTAATTGGATTTTATTTATGTTTCTTACTTGGTCTTAGATTACTTTTAGAAGTAAAAGATATTGTAATAATTTCTTTTTTTGGTTATAATTGGTTTAGGAAGTCTCCTAATTCTATATAAAGCCATATAATGCTAATAATTCAATAGAATTGATATTTTATAAAAATTTGAGAGCTGTCAAGCTTCTTTATGGATTGTGTGATGCAATCAAACCTTAGGTGTGATGCCTATGGAATCTAGGTGCGATGCCTAGACCTATCTTCTTTTCTTCTTTCTTCTTTCTTCTTCTTTTTTGTTTCAATTTACTATTCTCGGATTATTATTTACAGCCCTCTAAAAGTGCACTTTTCAACCTCAAAACTTTATCCAATCACCCTCAAGTCAACCCTAATCCCTTCCCCTACCTATTAGCCTTCAATTTAACCCTTGAAACCCTAAATTACTCACTGTTTAGGCCATCAAATAACCTCTGTTTACAAAATCCAGCATTGTCCCTACCTGTCCTACATCATACAATCAATTCTTTGAATTTGTTGTGGATCCACAGAGTAATCAATAGAAGTATTCTCCAGTAAGGTATTTCTTAGAAATGTCTTTGGAGCAAAACTAAGTTATGCAATAGAAAACACATAGAAGCGAAGCATATATACATCATGCTTTACCTACGTAATTTGACTTCCCACTGTTTTGTTTGTCATCTCCCACCTTGTTTCCTTTCCAATGCCATGATATATCGTTTACTACCTATCTCCCACATTTGGAGGACAACGACGAGTTGTTGCTGCATCAACTCCTTTATTGTTTTCACATTCATTTCTCTCTGCTGTCAAAAAATCTATCTATAGATTGGAAAATTACAATAACAACATTAAGATTGATCTTTAACACATATTGGATTCTTTCAACATTCAGTAGTGCTTGAGTTGAATAAAACTATATTGAACCCATGCACATGGACCAAATGACAATAAAGAAACAATTCCATCAACACTTCTGGTTATAACAATTTACATATTTCAAAAGATATTTTCTATCTCTCCACAAGATTGGAGACTCGTGATAGATGCCATTCATTATGAAAATTACTATTAGCACACAATTTTTAACCAGTACATTACACCAAAGGCCTTCATAAAATTCCAGTCAAACCCCTTTATGGCACACCAACAAATCATTTATCACGGTTCATGAAACAAGGATCTTGTCCTAATACCCTTTGAAGTTGTGACCCCCTAACGAACAACTCCAATATGCCTACTTTATTGGAAAGTTTGAACCTAATGTAAATATGATAGCGATCCCTTAATGCATGATTTATTGATAACACTAGAGAATAAGAGAAACAAGTTTACCAAACAGAACAACAATAACTATTGAAGAAAGAAAATATTACAAAGCTGATAAATATTTAATTAACCTGTGAAGCTCACTGACAAGACAACTGAGGCCAGGAAATGAACTTGAAATTGTGTTGAGCTCTATCTGGAGAAGTAACTTAGTCTGTTCGTCAAGCATATAATCAGAGCGATGTAAACCCAAGCGTATTTCCTAGTCAGTGATTAAAAAACAAAAAATTAGTCTCTTCTCCCCATTAAAAATTTGATCCATTTCCGCTTATGATAGCCCCTAAAAAAATTCGCTAAATGAGGTGAACAGACTAAGTTGCTGTCCAGAAACCATACAGTGTTACCAATACCATTACATTGTATTTTATGGCATTCAAAAAGAGCTTATTTGTATGCATCATTAACAAAGTATAATGAGGTTATTCCGCAAATAGAAGAATTAGTAGGCGTCACTAACATAGTTCAATGCTATGAAAATCAAAATTTAATGGCTCTTCAATATACACTTACCTCTTTCTTGCCACTTTCTAGCATCTTGGAATGGATATCCAAGAGTCTGGAGGTAAAAGTATCTGCTTTCTTTGTTCTAAGATGTAAAAAAAGAGAAGAATAATTTCAGATCACATTAGTACCAGATCTTACAAAAGCATGAGGGAAACTACATTAAACTAATTAAATGCCAAAACTAAACCAAACCAAATTACATCTTGTGTCCCACTCAAGTAGAGTAGGCTACATGAATCCTTTTTCATATATTCATATTAGGATTCATGTTCATAAAGATTTGACAGGGAATTTTACGTGTTGGCTGTCAAGCTACCTAACACATAACCCTCCTCCTTACCTGGATTTGTGAGCAGCTGTGTAAATAGCTAAACGCTAAGCACAACATAGACAGAGTATTGTAAAAAGTATGGAAAACGTTTTTTGGTAGGTAAACTAGTATGGAAAACCATAGGAGGATGATTATGACAATGAAAGAACAACTTTGAGGTAAATACTTCATCCTAGCTCCATAGCAATGTCCACTTTCATTGCAATTTCCAGATAATAGCACACACGGGCAAGCAGGCCCGCACGCGCACACACACACACACATATGTGGAGAGACAGAGAGTAAGAGTGAACCTTGAGAGTGATTCCTGTAAAAAATTTGCATCCAAGCTCACACGATCAACAAGCTCATTGAAAATGGGGGCCAACTCACATGCTTGTCTCCATTGCCTTTCGGGGAATGACATGGGCAATAAGGCAAATGGGGCATGAACCATTCCCACACCAGGCACTGTTCCAGATCTCTGCAAGTTAAATCACTTAAAAATCACCCACAAGTAAAACTGTACGCATGTATGTATGTATATTCTTCACATCATTCTTGCCCTTTTCTATGTGCCCAGTGTCATTATCAACTCAAAGACAAAGAAGAGAGAGACATTTAAATTCATGTCAAGCCAACCTGGCAACAATTCTGAAGAAACTTGCTGAAAATTAAACTAAAATCAGGACCAAAAAAGAGAGAAAACTCGAATCAAAAGAACATCTTTTTCAATACTCAAGCCGTAAAGATTAAAACATGGTTCATGTCATATAATGCGTACTGACCTGTACATTTTTGTCTCCAACAACAAGCCCATGAAGCGAACTCCAAACCAGAGAATCATAGACCAATCTCTGAATCAATTCCGGGTCCAAACTGTGAAGATCAGAGATGGGTTTTGTAGAATTGTGGTATTGGGTTTTGATTTCTTCAACTCTGCCAGACTGGATAGGCAAAAATAGTGGTGAAGATGAGGATTGGGCAGTCATGGTGGTGTAGGTGGGTTTTTGATAATGGAATTTAGAAGTGGGGGGATTGAGGGATGAGTTTGGGGTTGATTTGTGAGAAGAAAGAAGGGTGGTGGTGGTGGTGGCGGTGGCGGTGGCGGAGGCAAAGCAACTTATATGGGAATAGGGGAGAGAGAGGGAGAGAGAACAAGATGATGAATAGCCAACACCCATTTTTTGACCCTTTTATTATTGTCTCTCTCTCTCTCTCTCTGTAAACAAATGATCAAACAAACAAAGTACTATGACGGAAGGAAAAAAGCCACTCACCTACCCCAAAAAGACAGGAGGAAGCAACTATGCGAAAAGAGAATTCCGATTTGATTTGCTCTTTCTTTCTTGCTTATGTTCTGATTTATGACGAATTTTGGTCCCGCCTTTCCATAGTTTTTTTTTTTTTTAAAAGGGTGATAAATGTATTAATTAGTGTATTAATATTAATTATGATATTATTATTAACCCTACTTATTATATAAATTATAAATATTAAAAAAATTTAAATTATATCCCATCATCAATTAATACATTATCTATAATATTATTTATTTAGGTATAAATTTCAAATCCGTCACTTTTGATCACGCAGACGTTTATCTTATCAACTCATCTAACTTCTAGTTAACCTTTCCATAGTATCAGAAGGACTTTTCCATTCTTTTTTATTCTTTAAATTTCTCTTATTTTTAGGAAAATTCTAATATGGTTATGAAATTTTTTTTTAATTATGATTAATTTTTTAAATTATAATTTATAAAATTTTTTAATTATGTCTCATGTTTTATTTAATTAGAATTTTTTTAATTATATTTTAAAAAATATAAAATTATGTTTTTTTTTTTTTAAATTATGAAATATATAAGGTACCGTAAGTGTATCATAATATTTCCCATACGTTTACTCGTTTTGATAAATTCATGTCTAGGAAACGCCAAATAAGGTGGTTTCATTTGTCTTATAGTATAGTTGCTCTAACAGACAAACATCTATCTATCTATTTATTATGGTGTCTTGAAACTTTTATTTCTTATACTGTTATGTATCTATTTTTTTATTAAAAATAAAAAAAAAATTAGGTAGATGAAAGGAGGAGACTTGAATCTTAGATTTAAGTCAAATGAATAAGACTTTTACCACTTAACTAACACACAATATACAACAAACATTTTATTTTATTTTTATTTATTTGAATTGCACACGCATCGCATGTAGCAACAGCTAGTATATATATATATATATGGAGATATTTTTAGGATTCTTGGTATTAAAATTTTATAGTATAAAGGACATTTAATATTTTTATAATGTCTAAAGTCCTTCAATATGGATCTAGAGAAAATACGACCAAGAGAATTTCTCTAAACTTTCCAGAGAAATTCTTTCTAGAGAAATTCTTTGCTTTTCCAGAGAAATTCTTTACCCAAAGAAATTCTAAGCCAGATAAATTGATGCTATTATGACCAATTAAAGAAACCCAATCCAGTAACATTATTACTCAATCAATAAGAAACTCTAATAACCAAAAACCCATCATCCAATAACACTAACCTAAACGAATCTAACAAGAAAAAACCAACACTTGGGAGGGTTCAAACACAATTGACAGCCAATTAAGAAATCAATCCAATCAAAGCAACAAATAATCACAAATACAAACAAAGAAATTTATAGAGAAATTCTGGTTCACAGAGAATTTCTCTGGTCTAATTTTCTCTGGATTTCATAGAGAAATTATCTCCAAACGAGAGAATTTTCTCTAATTTGACAAAGGAATTTCTCTGATTTGAAGTCTAGAGAAAGAATTCTTGAAACTAGACTTTACAGAGAAATTATCTCCAAACCAGAGAATTTTCTCTAGTTTGATTCCAAAGTAATTCTCTCGGATTTAACAATTTTGAAACTAGACTTTACAAATACAAAGCAATTCACTGTGCTCCATTTGAAAAAATGGAGAATTTCTCTGGTCCAAACTAGAAAAATTCAATCCAAACACATTTATAGTATGTATCTGATGTTTCACTAAGATTAATATGAATAAAAATTTAACCGATCACCAACATTGTGTGTTTTGATTTCCTTGAAACTTCTTGTTGTTTTATTTATTTAGAAAGCGAAGTAATGAGCATAACCATATTGGTTGTGTTTTGATTTCCTCGAAACTGGTTGTTATGTCTTTTTAGAGAGCGAAGAATAAGCTTAACCATACTGAACGATGCATTTTGTTTTCTCTTTGCATCCTTTTCGGTGAAAACACCACAAAATCATTTTGAAGAACCACCAAATCATGCGGGTTCTGCAAAATCGGCAAATGGGTCTTCGGGATAGAATGTGAGTTTTCTTCCTTGACAGCATACATCACAGTAAAAGAAAGCTTAGTCGAAGAAGACAGCCGTTTCACTGATTTTTAAGCGACTTTTTTGGGAAAAAACTGGCGGATTCTGGTGGGATTCTGGCCAGAAAAGGGACTTGAAAGGAGAATACAGTGGTAGCATTGTAAGTTAAGAGGAAAAGAAGAAGAAGAGAGAGAAGTGCAAGTACATATCTCTTGCTTTTTTGCAAATTGTGGTGAAGAGAGAGAAAGAGTGAGCGAAGAAGATGAGATGTGTGGTGGTGGTGGTGGTGGTGGTGGTGGTTGTTTTTGTTGTTGGTGTTCATGAATGTTTGACGAGAGAGAGAGAGAAGAGCAGCGAGAGAGAGAGATAGAGAACGTGAGATATATCAAATTTCTCTGTGATAGATGTGTGTGTGATGGAGGGACCTTAGACATCAAAAAATAATATTATAGATCTCTTTCATTACTAAAAATAGGAGAGGGACTTTAGACTAATTTTCTCTATTTATTTGATCTCAAGGTGGCATGGGATTAGATTAACAATCCGATCAGTTTCACATAAATTATATTTGGTTTAGAATAATGTCAGTCTCATGATACTACGAATCCCCTTCAAGGGGATACTAGCAATTCCATGAGAGAGTTGGGTTTCACGATTTAATCCTATAGAATTGGAGGCGAAAATACTATTATACCTCTACTTTACAAAAATTACAAAGCTATCTTTGCATATATTGTGATTTTTTTTTTTTTTTTTTAAATTCATAAATTTAATTTCAACTAACCGATACTACCATATTACTACACAAAATACAATTTATCTTACATCATACTAATAATTACTTCACTCAATTTTACTGTACTAATAATTCTATCAAATCAAATCTGACAAATACACTATCTTTAAAGTTGTCAATATATGTACTTTTACTAGCAACAACAAACAAGAAGCTTTTTTTTTTTTTTTTTTTTTTTTCTTTCAAGTTTTTGGTAATAAGTTCCTCAATTTCAAACTTTATTGCCAACAGGACAAGATAAAAACATTTCATTCATTAAGGACAAAGTTTAAAATATTTAAAAAATATGACAATAATATCTTCAACTTCTATCATTTTCTTAAATTAGCACAACTACCACTGACTATTGTCTGCCACCACTGACCACCGCCGGCCACTGTTGATCACCCTAGTCGGCGATAATTTTCAGGCGATCACTGTCGGTCGGCGAAAATTTTCCGGCGAGATTCTCCAATGACAGTAAAATTTTACTCTATTAGACAGTAAAATTTTACTATTTATTTCAAACATATAAATAGTAAATTTTTGCCATTGTTATCACTAACCACCACAGTTACTATAATTATTACCACTATTCATATAGCTATTAAATGAAAAATCAGTCAAAACATTGAATTAATAAAGTTAACAGTAAAATTTTACTCTTACACAGTAAAATTTTACACTATATTAGAGTAAAATTTTACTATTTCACTATTGAACGTACTAAAATAACATTTTTGTTTAAAATCTCAAAATAAATATTCAAACTAATATTGACAAAAGAAAAATGCACTAAACAAAAAATATAAACACACACACACACACACACACACACACACACACACACACACACAGAGCACATATATTGTTTTAGATCTGGTTCAAACCAGAGTAAAATTTTATTGTCTGAAAAACAGAGCATGATGAGGAGACAAAGAGAAAAAGAGGGAGAGAATATAGATCTGATATGATAAATCTCAAATCTGAGGTTGTCAATCTCTGATCTGAGGTCTTGGAGGCTAAGAATGATGATGGTGGTTGCCTGTGGTACAGTGGCATCGAATGGCGCTGGTGGTTGAGATGGAGGTGGTGAAACGTTGGTGGCGGTAGTGATGGCGAACGATGCCGGTGGTTGAGACAGTGTTGGTGGAGATGGTGGAGGTAATAGAAACGATAGTAGTCGTGGTAGTGGAGATGACGATAGTTGTGCAGACGGTGGTGGTGGTGGTGGTAGAGACAGCTCTTAGAAAGAAATAGAGAAAGAAAGAGCTGAGAGAGAAATGACAATTAATGGAGAGAAAGAGGGGAAAGATAGAGTGCGTGTGAATGGGCAAATTTGTCACATAAAATATAAATCTGAAAATTTTTGTCCTTCTTACAAGATTTCTTTATTTTGAAGGAATTTATGAGCTAAAAAATCAGAGCTTGTCATTTTCAAGAAAAATGAGCTCTAGGAAGGAGTTATGGCAAAAAATCCCAGATAAATAGGGCCTAAGGACTAGGTTTAACAATTACAAAATGTCAAAATATGCATAATTTCAATAGACTTTTCACATATCTCAAAATATTTTTACATATTTGTATGCATTTTTTTTTACACATTATAATACAATTTGTTATACATTTTTCAACACTAATAATAACCTTGATCTTGGATAGGCTCTTAACCTACTCGAGTTACTGTCCTATTTTTTTTTTTTAATAGAATAGAGAAAAACAATTTTGTACACCTGCCTAACAAGTGGTTGAGCAAAACTTTCATCTTATTAGTCAAAATAATGAGACTTATAGTGAGAGCTGCTTTGTTTTGTTTTTTTTTCTTCCTTTTAATACAAATGAGATTCAAATATACAATTACCAATATTTAATCATCTTGATTTTTTTTTCTTAAATATTTTACTCAATAAATCTTAAAAAGTGAAAACGAAAATGTTACAATTATCATGCTAACTTTAGGATCTCCCAGGGGTAGCTAAGTGCGTTTGACAGTTCAGACTCCCAATTTCTGATTTGATATCACTAGTGCAGTGTGAAATAGAATTAAAGTCCAGATTTGGTAAATCTATAGGAAATCCATTTAATCGCAAAATATGCCAAAGATGGACTGCATCACCAGATTTTAGAGTCGCTATCTAATCTTTTGGGAAAACTAGAAAACCCGTGACTCGTGCCAAAAGTCGTCATAGCCAAA